CGCTGGTATTTGTAAACCTTGGTGCCAGCAGTTCGACAGTTGTTCTTAGATGTCCAAGAGAAAGTCAAAGCTGTTGACATAAGTAGGAGTCATGAACTCTGGATGTATAAAAATCCTGTACTGCAGTTTGCACACTGTAGTGAGTGGTGAGGAGGAGATATCTGTTAGGCTTTCAGCCAGCTGGTTATTCACATGGCTCATTTTGGGGAGGAGAATAGCTTTAAAGGCTGTTTTTCCCCACAGCAGCTGCAGCCACGCTGATGAGAAAACAGGGCGGTTTACACCAGCTGGCAGCGGCGAAGTTCAGTCCCCTGGCTAGTCACCTCGGCTCCCCAGCGCCTCGGCCACCCAGGTCTGCAAGCCGAGAAGAGGTCGCAAATGGAGAAGGGGACAAAAAAGGATATATATGTGGGCCGACATTAAAATATAAGGGAATAATCCCTAGATCATTCTCTAATTTAATTATCATCTTTAGCTAGGTTCATTGCAAAAATATAACGGAAAATGTCACTGAATTGCCTGCCTTTGTATTTGCCCACTGATGCATTTCTGTCCCTCTCCTTTCGTTCTCACCATGCCCACGTGTCGCAGCACCTCATGATGTGCTCAAACGTTGGCTTCTGATGGGGCAAACCGTGCCCAGTGGGCCAAATTATCCCTAGGTGCAAAAGCACAACCCCATTGGCAACTTCGTGGCTGTGTTAGGAGTATACAGAGTAGGATTTACCTCGCCGAGCAGAAACAGAAAGAAGGTAATTGAGAGTTTTCATCCTCTCGTATTCCTCTGGTAATCTAAAAACAACACCAAATATCATAGGAGTCTCAGTAATGTCTTGAGAGCTGGCAATCTGCAATGATAATGAAACGTGTTTTGTAAGGAGCGAAAGTATGTAAGACACTTCGTATACATTTATACCCTCTCTTTTTATGTAGATGTATTCACACTGAAGTGATCAAAATTGGTTTATAGTAACTCTTACAGACTAAACTATGTAACGACTTTCATGATTTTGAGTTAGATTTAAACATTAAGAAAGTTTCTGAGCTTTAGCTACTGAAAACTTCTGCTGTAGTGCAAGTCAGATTAAGCCACAATTAATACAAAATATCGCACACATCATTTTTTGTTACAATTTTAATTTTATTTACAAACATTAGCTTTCACAAAAGCATCACGTATAGCAGCATTTAAATACTGGGCAGGTACAAACATATAACTTCTTGTAACAAGATTCAGTTTAAGAAAAACTGAAAAAGTAATGAGATAAGTAATAATAATCTCATACTTAAAGTTGCTTTTAAGAGGGGAAATTAGGGAACAAGGCAGAAGTAGCACTTCTTTCCAAACAGTTTTCTGGGACTAAATCAGCTGACTAAATGGTTCAGTCGCTCTTAAATCAAATAGTAGATTATCCCTAATGCTCACATTTGCATTGAATACCATCATGTGTAAGTTGTGATTTTAAGAAGCGCAGTCAGAATGGTGCTCATTCTACCTAAAACAATGAAATGTTTTGAACAGTTTCTAAGTTGCTGTACGTTTGTCTCATGCAGGTCATTGTTTATTGTCCACAGTCTTTGCTTTGCTAAGCAAAAGGTGTTTTCTTTACCATACATGAAGAAATAATAAGCAGTCCAAACGTAGCCAGTGTTACTGGGGCACCAAAACTGTGCTAGTAAAAAGCTAACAGAAGTCACGCTGTGCGTCTGTAAAGGCACTGTGCTTCCAGAAGGGGTTCTTGCATCGGCTTACTGGCATATTTTAATAGTATTTTCTTTATGAAGTTCTTTAACATTAAAAAAATGTAGCCGAAGGGTAGTTATAATCCTTCACTGTTCTTTTGCTCAGAGGTGGTTCACAGCTAAGACATAAATTAAAATTTAAGGCCAACTTTCCTTCATCATCACTCATTTGGGGAGTGCTTTCTTTTCGAGAGCCTAGCTATCCATCAGTGTTACTGCTATGGCTGCACGGCTCCTGGAGTATCTACAGCCCTCCCATTTTTCAGTGTAACTCAATCCCTTTTCTAGAGTCAGTGTACGCAGTAACATAAGAAACATGGCAAAATGAGAAATTTAGCTGTGACTTTTTGGAGCTGGTCTCTAACTGTAGACCAGCTGAACTGTTCATGATCTCTAAAGGGTACCTGTGATACCTGTTGTCCAGGGCTGTGGTTAGCCAGAGCTGAGTAGGAGTGTCAGCTACCATTCTTGAAAAGCATACTGGAAGACCTAGAAAGTGTCCTGTCTCTGACGCTGCAATACAGGAGAGCACAAGCTGACCAACTGCAACAGTTAGCTCTTTAAATAAATAATCTTGGATTCCCTTATTTCACTTGACCAAACAAAATAAATAGATTTTTAAACAAATCTCTTTGCCTGTCTTTCCCCTTCCCACTCCTCTCTTGCAGAGTTAGGCATCTCTCCAGTTTTGCTCTCCGCTCCAGCTGCTTTCAGTGTCTTTCAGCACTTACTAATCGTACGTGGTATTTCATGAATGAAGAGGAATGTCTCTTTCTCTACATCACCTCTGAAGTTTGTCTCTGGGTCTGTCCGCTGACACAAGCAACCTCTAGGTCTTCTCGGGACTATCCCAGGTCACACTTGTGCCCCATAGTCCCCCTCATGCCCATCTCTGGGTTTCCTTCCCCTGCCCTTATGCAGGTTGTGCTTTCTCCCCTTTGGAGGGCAGGATAAGAGTGAAGGCAGGTAGCCTACCTTTCTGCTCTCCTCTCCTTTCCTGTCTCTTTTGGCACAAAAAGTGACTCTAGTGGGTTGATCCTTGCTGTCTGCCAGACACCCACCCAGCCGCTCTTGCACTCTCCCTCTTCAACAGGACAGGGGGATAAAATAAGGTACTCACAGGTCGAGATAAAGACAGGGAGGTGACTTACTAATTACCATCACAGGCAAAACGGACTCAAAATGGGGAAAGTTAATTTAATTTATTGCTAATTAAAAATAGATTTGGATGGTGAGAACCACCACCCCCCAACCCACTTTTCCTGGGCTCAATTTCACTCCTTCATTCCTAACTGCCCCTCTTGGAGCACTGTAGGGGGACGGGGAATGGGGGCCGTGGTCAGTCTGTAACAGCTCCTCTCTGCCTCTCCTTCCTCCTCACCCTGCTCCAGCGTGGGTCCCCCACGGGCTGCAGTTCCTGTCATGAGAGCCTGCTCTGCTATGGACTCACACAGTACAGAGCCATACAGTGCAAGACCAGTACAATACAATAAAGTCTCACGTAGCCATCAGTACAACTACAGAACAATCCAATACAAAACCAGAAGGGTGGATGTGTGAGGAGCTGGGCTGCAGGGAAGTCTCTGCTCCACCATGGAGCACCTCCTCCCCTCCTCCTCTCACCTTGGTGTCTGCAGGGCTGTTTCTCAACGCTTTCTTCCTCACTCTGCCTGCGTGGCGGTGTTTTGCCCTTCATTAAAGCTGTTTTCCCCAAGATGCCACCATCGTGGCTGAGGGGCTCAGCCATGCCCTGCGATGGGTCGATCAGAGCTGTGTCTGGTGTGGTGCAGCCCCAGTCGCTCCTCGCAGAGCCGCCCTGCAGCCCGCCCTGCCAGCGCCTGGGCACCTGCACCGTTACTGTACAGTATGGGCACCATAAGCTGCGGGTGCACAAAACAATCCTGCAATACGTGATCTTCAGGTGTTTGTAAGACCCGAGACTGTGCACCTTTTTGAAAACACCCGACTAAGCCCACCCAACATCAGTCGCCTAAAAGTCAGTTGCCTGTGTGAAGTTACGTGCAGTGCCTTCGCCGCGTGTAACATGGAGGGAAAGCTTCTCCAGAGGCTGACGCTGGTGTTGAGTCGCATCAGAAATCAGGAGAACTGAGGGGTTTTTGGCACCTAACTTTTAGTTGACTGGAGTGACATGAGTCCCAGCGCATTATCTCATGACGGACAGTCGAAGTCACAGATTGCTCCTGAAATCTGAGAAGCTTAACATGAGCCGGCAATGTGCGACTGCAGCCCAGAAAGCCAACCATATCCTGGGCTGCATCCGAAGAAGCTTGGCCAGCAGGTCAAGGGAGGTGATTTCTGCCCCTCTACTCTGCTCTTGTGAGACCCAGCCTGCAGTACTGCATTCAGCTCTGGGGTCCCCAACACAATAAGGACATGGAGCTGCTGGAGCGGGTCCAGAGGAGGACCACAAAGATGATCCGAGGGCTGGAACACCTCTCCTATGAAGACAGGCTGAGAGAGTTGGAGAACTCTCTTCAGCCTGGAGAAGAGAAGGCTCCGGGGTGATCTAATTGCAGCCTTCCAGTACTTAAAGGGGGCCTACAGGAAAGCTGGAGAGGGACTTTTTACAAGGGCATGTAATGACAGGACCAGGGGCAATGGCTTTAAAGTGAAAGAGGGCAGATTTAGATTAGATCTAAGGAAGAAATTCTTCACTCAGAGGGTGGTGAGGCACTGGCACAGGTTGCCCGGAGAAGTTGTGGCTGGCCCATCCCTGGGAGGGGTCAAAGGCCGGTTGGGT